GCGCTCAGCTCATGCAGCCTCTGACTGACCTACTCAAAGGGAATGAAGGTAAGTTCGTTTTCCCTGACAAAGTACAGACAGTCTTCGCTGAGTTCATGGATGCTACCTAAACCATAGCCCTCCTCGCACATTCCGAATCGATTGCACCCCTTTCTATTACGACTGATACCTCAGACGTAGCGGTAGGATCCATCCTCCGACAACATGTCGGTGGGTAGTGGCAACCCCTTGGGTTCTTCTTCCAGCGCCTGCAGCCAGCGGAATCCCGCTACAGCACGTTTGGCAGAGAACTGCTCGCCATTCGTCACTTCCGGCACACACTCGAAGGCCGCGCTTTCACGGTCTACACTGACCACAATCCTATTTTTGTAGCCTGCACGATACACCTTGGGTTCAGTCGCCTCCAATGAGTCTACTGTCCCGTATTTGGCACGGTTCTAACGTGCCATTGAGTATCGACTAGTATCCCAGGCGCCACCCAACACGTTCGCTCATGTCTCGCTTCATCGGTCCAGGTCTTTTGTAACGCCTCGAAGATAGTCAGCTGCGTCCGACTTCATTCACCTTCTGATGTTTGCGATCGATTACGCTCATCGTCTCAGACTATTATTTACTAGTCCTACAAATTTTAGACCCCGATTCGCAGGCGAGAATTTGAAAATGGTCGTCATTGTTTAGATTTTTTCGGTTAGCTCATTACATTTTTCGATTGTACAAGTGCATGTATTTGTTTCTCACCTAACTTTAATAAGCTTGTCGTTACTTTGTTTACTTTTGATCTTTGAAATGCACAACTCACACGTAGTATCTCAGTCGTTTCAGAGCATAGGCATGCCAAATTTGGCTTTTCGGATTTCACGGAACAAGCCGAAATAGTTGGCTTGCTATTTTCCAGATCTATCTAGAAAATAATGGCATTCGGACACGAAGGCTGGACGTTTCTTCATGGGACGAGGGTCATTATGGCGCCGGATGCGGTGCAGCGGGGAGAGAGATCACTCCAAAGCGCAGCGTTTGGCAGCAGCCGAGTTTGAGGTCCTGTCGGTCTTTTCTCTGGATTAGCCAGTTTGTTTTGGTTAGATAAAGCCGCTCCAACAGCTCGCCGAAATGCACCCTGCCCTGTAAGCAACAAATAATAAATAACAAACGGCATGGCGGGCTTCGAGTTCCGGCGAACTCTCATTTGACGTGAATACTCACTCACTTTTACTCAGTATGATTTTGTCCAACCGACATAGATTCACCTATCTTTAACATCGGAGGCTTCATTTGTTCAGCCTTCTAGAGGGGAGCTCTGTAGCGCCCCAGAAGATAACTACTATCTTTTATGTACAATAGCATTGCTGACCAATGGTATACAAATCCGTTTTGTTTTAATCTCCCTTACACTACGGCCATGTTGGCTTACATCCTGATCGACACGCGTCTTCTCTGTAAGTTACCATGCCGACGTTCGCTCCTGTCTCGCTTCATCCGTCCACGTCTTTTTGTAGCGCCTCGAAGATAGTCCGATGCGTCCGACTTCATTCACCTTCTAATGTATGCGTTCGATTACGCTCATTGTCTCGGACTAGCATTTTCGAGTCCTGCAAGTCACATGCACCATTCGGGTAGATTATGTACACTGATGGTGTGCAATTTTGTGATCTCGCCCAGGTTGTAAAGTTAATCCATCAAACATGCAATTTCCCAAGACGCATGATGGGTTGTTGAATCACTTTGTCGAGTGTGTTCGCAATCGCACCGCTGCAGACGCTGGTAAGGTAAACAAACGCGTTCTGTTGGCTGGCGGGTCGATGGATGACAGCTCTGACTGGGTAGGGGTCTGAAGCGGAATGCTAACGTTATGCACAGACAGAATAAGAGAGCACAAATTCCTCTACAGCCGTGTGAGGAACACCGAATTTGAATAAGTTTGGATCAGTTGGAGAGCATCGGGATTTCTGGACCGATGTTGCACAATTGAGGATTAGGCTCAAAAGTGATCAATTGTGTGCACAGATTTAAGCACGAAAGCCGTGGAAAATAGTTCCACGTATGATGTTGCAGTAAATAGAGCTAGTGAATCTGACACGAATGAGTGTACGGTGACTATGATGTGTGGACGTAAAGAGGAGAAACAGCTGTAAGATGTGGAGCGAGAGAACTACGCCGCTGATCTACGAGATATGTTGCAGCAGCTTAAGACTGATGCCACTTCGCTTGTGCGTAAATGGGCAAGCCTGCAACATTCAGTAATACTTGTGGTCCTACCATACATCGTCATGATGACACGGAAGATCAGTCTCATTCTCAGTTGTCCCCTGCGGTATCACTTAAAGAAATAGGCGACCACTGCTGCTGAAGAAATGATCGGGTGTGCAAACTGTAAGCGGCCCAATTAGTTTGACAACAATGCAACGATTGTAGCATCAGTGTCATAGACTGCAGCATTCGCTGCACATGAGAAGTATCCCGGCAATGCGGAGGAAACCAATGCAGGATGTCGACTTGTAAGGCAAAAGCAACATAAATACGTTAAGCCGAAGCGGTATTGTCAAAATCAAGATCCTACCTGTATAGTGCCTAACCACCTCTTCGCGTAGGTATTCTAACTTTCTTCATACGTTCCAACAACGCGCACTGAATGGATCAAGACAATGCAACGCAGCAGCTAAGAACGTAGGTGTTGGTGGTTCCCGATAAATCAAGTTGTGTGTAACAAAAATAACAATAATAAAACCATGATAACTCGTCGGTATTAGTTGCTGTCCCAAAGACATTTTATTTTCAATTATTGTATGAAATTGGTGGATACATAGCCGACAGCAGGTGTCGTATGGTTAAACGAAATAAGGTGGCGATTCTAGTCAAACGCCACTTACATTGGTTCATATGAAGGAGACGAGTCACCGAGAAGAAAAAGTTCCTTGTTCATCCCACCGGCTATGGTAAAATGTCAGATTCGACAGCAAGTAGTGTAAAAACAATCTGCAACACTTAGCAGGGCCATTAACGATAAGAAAACCTGGTCCGTGGAACATCAAAGTGGTAAAATGCACTGTGACACGAGGACGAATGGTTACAGCTCACATTGCTAAGGTGGCAAGATGTTTATAATGACAGAAGGAATGTGCTGGCCTAACGAGGATAGTAAAGCGTTTTGGGACCAGCCTTATCCTCCGAGTAGTGGCAACATGCATAGTAGCGGAAGATGAATGCGCTATATTACAAATTAAAAAATAATAGTAATGTGTCAGCTTTACGCCGTAACAGCGCTTCGCTGCCGCGCGACCACCAGTCGCGCGCAGGCTGAGTATATCGCGAGGACGTCCAACCATACGCGGATTCGAACCGGTGACCTTATGGTTGCAAACCCGGCGTGCAAACCACACAACCACCGGTGGACACCATATGCAACTTGGTCACGCAAACCGTCATCCCCATACGTGGCTTATAACCAAAAGCCCACGAATAACGATTAATCACCGCTTTGAATCCCAAGAGGCTCGAAAGGAATGCACAGTGCTGATGAATCCCGATAGGGCGAAACTACGGTCTCGCACTTTTCCGATTGCTAGTAAATGAATAAATCCTTTATTCTCGGAAAAATTATTTTAATGTGATGAAAATATCAGAAAGTGCAAACGAACAAATAGGTCAAATGCGAACGCTAACACATTAATTAGGGGTTGAAAGCAAACGTTCCGGTGGCTCCGCGGCCGCGTATTGCGTAGTGGGTTATCAAGCCACCGTTGTCGTTGTCGGAAAGGATGATAAAACGAGGGACTACACTACACCGCACATACACACTGTCGTCACGTTAGTAAATAAGCGCCATAAAATCTCACCAAACAGTGCGGTTTCGCGAAAAGACATGATGTTCAGGCTAGACACTAACGTGGTAGGATGGTTTGTGTGCATCAACGATTAATTGAACTATGCTGGATGGTGCTTTTTGCACCTTCAGAGCCATTCATACCAGCTTGGTCAATGGTTAGAGGCCAGACAAACTCAGTCACCTGGCCCTCCAGATTGGAAGTTAAAGTGAAGGTGGTTCCTTATTCAATAAAACGGACTCTCTGTAGCCCAGTGCCAAAATCTCGCAGCCTTGCGGTGAGGTTTTCGAACCAAAGGCTTTATGGAAGAACTCAAATGGTTCTCCTGTCTAAGCTTGGGCAACCTGACAGTATCGTGCGCACGCAATACAACTCAACCACTTTCCCTAGGATGATGAACACGTTTGGTTGGACACACTTGCTGACATGGCTGGGAGCCGGTCCCAATGGTGTTTGTGCTGAGTGTTTTTGTCCATCCCCCTCTTCTTTAGATTCCCTCTCCAATCACGATGATGTATAAAGATTAATAATATGATATTTAACATTATATTACCTGGTTTTTGAATTTTTAGTGGTGTTATTTTTAGTACCTAATCTTTTTGTATCGCGACACAAGTTGAGGCGTGTTTCTCACCATCAGCTAAAATGTATCGATGATGATGATGTTCAGGCATTAAGAATAAGATCTTCTGCGGCACCATGGGGTATGTCGATAAAAAATGTTTTACACTACATGAGTAGCATTTGTAAGACGAGCAGTTCCTTGATATCTCAAACACAGTGGCATTGGCTTTTGCTTAAACTGATGGTATGCAGTAAGTCACACCGTTCCTCAGACCATTGCTCGACGCACTTCTACCTCCTTCTCGTCGAGAGTATAAAACATAACCAGACATAAAGGTCTGCTGTGCCAGATGAAAGAATTGAAAAGCCGTCACTGATGATGTTGCACAATAATCACTCAGCTCGGAGAACCGCTCAAAATCCGCATCCACACCCCGAGCTACGGATATTCTCATTTATTTCAAAGCTGCACTCTGTTGCCTATCCTAATGGGACAGGTCAGTCACGCGGTTCTAGTCATATGATCACGAGGAAGTCAGTATTGGATCAGCGTCATTCAAATGGAGCAGCGGTCGTAAAACACCTTTAGGGGATTATAAACGTCTTATTTTCGTTGAAATGTCTAGTCCAAAGCGTTCCCCCAAAGAGTCCCCCAAAAAATCACCAAAAAAGGGTCGATCAAGCCCAACGAAAGGCCTCAGAATGGGGGCCGAAGAGTGGGAGGAATTCCAACGAAAATATTTCGCTCGCAAACGTTATAATACGATGGATGTCGTGTTTACGCAAAAGAGCCCGGCTATTTCGCTTTATGTACGTAGTATTCACTTATACGAGATTTGGAATCGACTACCACCATTCGAGCAGTTCTGTAATTCTAACGATGAGGAAATTAACACCTCAAACAGAAGCCCCAAATCATCACCAAAGAAGTCACCTAAAAAGGGAGGCACTGCCAATCAAAAAGTAGACGAGGAAGAAATTCAGAAACCCGAGTACGAACCTGCCGAGATCACAGGTGTGGTGGCTGTTCACAAAAGCCACATTCATATAAAGAACAAACTTTTTGTCGAAATTACAGCGAAATTCAAATACATTGGGCATGCCAAAGTACCACCGTTTCCAGACAACGTAGCGTCTGAATGCCAATGCTTCCGAGATGTGCAGGTCGTTTACCCGGTGAATTTCGATCTCGACACAAAATTGGCCGACTTCAGCCAGCAGTTGATATTTAAGCTAAGAAAATCACTCGGGAAAGGACATCGGTTCTTCCCGTTCACATTTGATGTAACCCGGAAGCCAGATTCCCTCTTCTTTACTCGGCCTTATTATCCGGACTACAGCAGTGGTCTGTTTTGGAATCTAAGAGCTTATATAGCACATGAGGAAAACTGCAACCCACTACCGAATGAAGAGGTAAGTATGGAGTTTTTCAAGTACACCATCGCGCCGGTGCTGAGCCGATTGGCTCTGAGAGAGACCCCGGTGGTGGAATACAAACGATTCTCTACGATGGATGATACGGGCGACCTCATACTGGCGGCTCAACTAGAGCGTGACACCTACTACCAAGGACAGGAAATCAAAGTAAAAATTCAGATAGAAAACAATTCGTCAAGACATGTGATCGAAGCAATTGCAGTGTTCGTGGAACAAACATACCGAATCTTTCACCAATTCCCACACGATTACAGTATCCCGCTGGGTGAGGTGTTACTTAAAGGCAGTGACAGTGGTCTACCAATTCAACCAAGAGGCAGAAATTGGACGAAGGAAGTAAGTGTCAAACCCGTGTACGATCGTACGAAGTATAATTTGGCCATTGATGGAAAGATGCCTGTGGATAATAAAATATTTCTTGCTAATAGCACAGTCATTATGATGAAAGAACAGATGTATGCGCTGAAAATTCAAGAACCGGAGGTGAAGAAAGTCAGTCCTAAGGGGTCACCGACAAGCAAAAGGAAGTCACCAGAAAGTAAAAAGTCACCGAAGGGTAAAAAATCAACTAGTCCGGGGAAAGTGGCATCCAAAACCTCGCCAGTAGCAGAGGCGGCCGAGCAGCCTACACCACAAGAGAAACCCCAAATTGAAAGCAAAATGAATGAAGTGAATACATTGACTAATAAACAAGTTTGCCGAAGTGCGACAATCGCGTATGATGTAGTCGTGCGCCTGAACCTACGAACACCGACGAATGATGAGTCTGGTCATCCCATGGTTCGATTACCTTTCATTCTGACTAGAGAGACAAGATACTTAGACAAACTGCTTAATCCACCGCCTCCAACGTGGGCCATCGTTCCACCGCATTGATGGCAGCTGTGTGCATCACGCTGTACGCAAATGAAGTTTGTCACGACAAAAAAAACAAGTGACAAGATAGTAAGAAAGCATTTTATTTTCAACGTAATCGATCGCGTGCGAATTGGATGAGGAGACGAGTTTCTGAACTACCTCGTTTATCTTAGTATGTTCATCCAGTTGCGCGACCGGAAGCCAAGTCATGTCAGGTAACAGCTTGTACGAACTGATATACTTATGCGGACAGTTCGAGCCCCAATCCTAGAGTGGGTGCAATGAATGATGGCGATTGATGAGCACTACCTCGGGAGAGAGCAATCCCATATATTTGGTTCCTTCGGGTCGTTCATATACATGATAAACTGTCCCCGGTTTCTTGATGAAGTTACATGGTAATCGATGGATTTCCATATCCCTTTTCAAATCGTGCAAGATTGTTTCTGCTTGCCGCTGTACTTGAGAAGCAAAACAGGGTTAGGGTAAAAATTCAACAACCTTCAGATGTTGCATCTGATCTATAATCAGATGTAATCGGGCACAAGCATTTGAGTTGACGAATTGCTCACAGCTTTGAATCTGATGGGCTAGGTCAACAAGATCAGTGGACGTTGCAATCTTCTTGGCCGATCCACTCGGAGATAAACCATCGGCAGTAACCCGGCTAAGTGGTGAAGAATCTGAATCCATCCGACTTCCGGTGTAAAAACCATCAAATAAAAAAGGAAAATTGTAAATTCACTGGAAAATCCAAAGTGGTGATAGGCGATCCGGCCAGCATAAAAGAAAATATTTGTCGTAGAGCTGAAAAGACATAAATAAAGGCATGGAACTAGTATAATTCACAAATTAAGCGACCAGTCCAATCCAGTTGACTGATCACGAGTTGAACATCGAAATGTGGTGAGTCCACTAATAACGACAAGCCAAGTTGACTTGGCGTTTGCTGTAATCTCTTAACTGTATTACTGCTTAAAATGTCCCTTGTGCTGAGTTATCTGTTGCTATGAGGCCTGGTAATAAAGGCCACAAGGAAGCTGAAAGTGACAACCTCGTTTGAAACCTATAGCAATGCGTATAAGCCCAGAGACAGGTCAAAACCAAACCTGAAGTGAAATACGGTAGTATGCAAATGTATACTAAAAGTCTATAAGGAAAAAAGTCAACACCATACACTCATCATTGTCATCAGCATACACATTAGCTAGAGGTGGAAAACACCTCAGCTATTATGCCGCAACAACACGCTCAGGAAAAGGCAATCGAGTCTGTCTAAGATATGGGACGAAAGTGCAAATCATTGTGCTTGTGACTGCACGCACAAAAACCAGTCCGTGCGCAGTCACACGGGGGTTTATATAGCAAAACATAGCCGTATGATATATATGGTTGGCTGCATCCGGTTTCGGATTTGCCTGTCACTGTGGCCAGCCACAGGACGCCTGTGCCTACAGAGGGACATTGGATGGCTTGCGCTGCACCACCCACACACCCCATATCCAGTGTAAACCCGAAGGAATAAGACCGGGGGGGGGCATGTGGATGGGAGCCACGTTTCACCAACGGAGCCGGCCCACACTCCTTCACAGGCAAACACAAGCACTCTGTATTTTGGGGAATAGAGTGCACACAAGGCGGTGGCTGGACCGTAGTCCGCTCCACACTGAGTGCATGGAACCACTCTTTGATCCTAACACGGCCACAAGGACCGTGCACCCAGTCCTCTCCAGCAACGACCAACTGTCTCCTAGAGCCAGTAAGGACGAGGTAGTGGGTAAGAGACAGGTAGGCACCTTGCCAACGTGCACGTCAAGCGCAGCCACACCGGGGATATCAAGCAACAGCCAATCACTTAAAACGATGATATCAAATAAAATAACTCGAATAATGCACATAGTTACGGTAACATAACTCTTCATTAAATGAACAGATGAAATAAATCAGTTGCCAAAATATCCGCTATAGTTGCAAGACGTCAGGAAATATATTTTAACGAAATGTAACAAACGTAAAATGTTATCAAAGTTAACTACAAGAAACTTGAGCGACGTGTGCAAGTTCATAGAAAATAGTTCACATAGGCAATAATGAGATAATATAGCAAACCCACCACCTGAAATAAAGAGACTCAGCATGCAAGTACACGGTTAGTAAATCGAATGCAGCGTACCTAGAAACGCTGCGCCGGTTCTGCCTACGTTCTCTGCAGGATCCGTCGTCGCTTCGGTGTTGGCCCCGTGACCGTTCATCGCTCACTAGGCTTGCCTGACTAAGGCACTCGCGACCGCATGTGCTACAGCACCATGCGCTCGAAGTCGATGGAGTACAACCAATCGGAGGCTGTCGTTTCCGCAATCGTCGCTTCTTCTCCGCATGCACGAGGTCGTTCTCCTGCACCGTGGCGATTACCTTCGTGATCAGATCGCGCCATGCACACCGATCAACCGCCTTCGATTCCCATGACCTGCAATCAAGATTAGAACGTGAGAGGTTCACTCTGACAAGGTCCTGATAAGGAAGCTTCGGTTTCCCCCCATGCCACTTCCCAATACTCAGCTGAGCATATAAGTCGTTTCGGTATCCGCGTCGAATCCATACAGCTCACATGACCGAGCCACCTCAGGTGTCTCAGTAAAAGTATGCAGTCCATTACATACATCCCACTTCGGTGCGAAACTTCCGGGTCCGCAACTTTGTTGCACAAACCGATGAGCAGAATCCGTCGCAAACGATGCTGATGGAACCGCTCGAGATATCGCACATCTCGCCGGTACACTGCCCACGCTAAACTGCCGTATGGAAGAATGGACAGCCCTATGGATTTGTACACTAACAGCTTCGTGTCAATGGTAAGCTGATGGTCATTCCACACTCGGTACTCTAGCTTCCCGAATGCCGCCGCTGCCTTCGACACGCGAATACGCAACTCAACGTGTAGCTGCTGATCAGTCGACATCACACTCCCAAGGTAGCTGAAGCGGGAGGTCGTTTCCAATACTTCAGCAGCAAGGCTGATTCGCGGCAATATTGAAGATTGCACCTCCGGTGAAGGCTGAAAGAGACAGACGGTTTTGATTGTGTTGATGGTGAGCCCGAATTTGGCCGCTGTCGAAGCCAGAGTACTAGTCATGTGCTGCAACTCATCCGCGCTGTGTGAAAACAACGCAGTCGTCAGCAAACAGCAACATACGGATAGTTATCTCACAGACTAGAGTTCTCGCACCGAAACGACGGATGTTTAGCAACCCACCATCAATACGGTGCTCCACACGAACACCGTAAGCACAAGCCGCATCAAAAGCACAAGACAACATTGCATGAAGATATATATTAAACAGGGCAGGAGCTAAGACAGCTTTGCTTTACACCAGAGACAACTGCAAAGTCATCCGAGGTCTCTCCACTCAGCTGCACCCTCGCTCGCATACCACTGTGCAGACATTCAATTAAACTTACAAACTAACTCTGACAACCAAACTTACTCAACACCAGCCACAATGTCTCGCTGTTTACCGTATCAAATGCCTTGGTGAAATCAACAAGAAGCGAGTACAACGGCTGGTGTCCTTCTCTGCACTTCTCCTGCAACTGACGAGCCGCAAACACTATATCTATAGTGCTGCGACCCGAACGGAATCCACACTGCTCTTCCGCCACGTCAGGTTCCACAACCTGACTGACGAGGCGGCTGAGCAGGATTCGGACAATCACCTTGCCCACACAACTCAGCAGGTTGATGCCACGATAATTCGTGCAACAGTGCTTGCACCCTTTGCCCTTGTACAGTGGTAGCACAAGGGCATCCTTCAGCTCAGGAGGCACCTCCTCCTCAATCCATACACGTTGCACCAAGTGGTGCAGCGCAGTCAACAACGTGGGTCCGCCGTGTTTCAATACTTCAGGCGGGATCCCTTCGGCTCCGGCACACTTGCCGTTTCGCAGTTGAGCAAGTGCTCTCTGCGTCTCATCCAATGTCGGTGTGTCTGCCAGACTCGTGTGCACATCGTACTGCTTAAGGCCGTTCAATGTAGGCCAGTCGATCTCCGAACGGTTGTTCAAGAGACAGTTTTCGTGAGATCTGCATTATGTCTGTAGTGTGTGCAGGTAGCGCCTGAGCTGCCACAGATCAGCGGCTCCAATCTCGGTCCATACACTGTTTTCAAGGAGTCAAAGAATTCCTTGTGTTGACGTTGGCGTACAGCTCCGCCGAAGCAACCAGTAGTCAGCTCACTTCCGAGACATAACCGTATGAAATGGTGTGGACTCTGTACACAGAATAAGGGATAAAAGATCGTTGAGCAGGTGTATACAAAGGTGTGGACAACAATGATACAAGTCGAATTTGGCAGTTGCTTGCAGATCGCGATCACGGTGAGTACGCAGGGGTAAGGGCGAGGGGGACGGAATATTGACATGTGAGTGCACAAGAAGGGATGAACTAACAAAATGCAGTAGACTGCAGCCACGGTCATTCAGAGAGAAAAGCTCATAGTCAATATTTGTCTTGTCTAGTAATTCTGTCGTTTACAGAAACGGTTATCAATGTCGACATATATCTACACTACATGTAACCGTTGTAACCACGTGCCTTGATCTTAAAGGTTCGCAAGAAGAAATCAGTTTACACCATGTTTCATCGATCCTCTGGTATAAATGCACATTACGATGATCATCGAGGCTGCTTCGAAGCATATCAGTATCAGTCCAAAGTACTGATGCACTGCTTCTGTTGCTGGTAGTGATAACTATGGAGCACGATGCGAATAAAAGGCAATGACGGCGATGAGGAGGAAAAATAATAATGGAGCAGTAAACATAAAGTGAATGTTAATATTAAAATGGGATCAGAGAAATTGTCGGGACTAAAAAATCAGATGCTGGGAGTATGACTTACAAGCATTGATATGGCCGATCTCGAGGCCCCAGACTACAAAGTTAGCATGCATAAGCTCAAGTAAATCCACCAGGCAATTCTTACGCAACCGCTCGCTCCGTCATTGGTTAGTCTATCTACAGCAGCAACCAAACGGGCGTAGTGCAAGAAAACGGTAAACATCAAGGCACAAAAGATATTTCGGCAGAACCAGATTGAAAAGAGCGGCGCCGCTTTGTCAACCGGCTAATCAAGCAAAGCCTACGTAAGGATCGCGAGGCATGGTGGTCTGAGCGTGCTATAGAGATGGATATCGCTGCCCTCTCTGTCAACACACAAGCTTTTCCAACTCATTCGGTTCACTGGTCTCAGGAAGCCTGGTGTCAGTGAGGTTAGTTACGAGGCGGATGGGTCTCCGATTACAAACCAACAGAGGGGCTTGGACCGCTAGGCCGAATATTTTAATTCGCAATTCTACCGGCATTCACCGTCCATCAGTGCACGCAGTACACCTTTTTGCCTCCCTTGGCTCGTCCCACTGGGTCCACCCAGCGAAGCGGAAGTTTACCTGGACTTTCGACGCCTGAAGCGACTCAAGGCTGCCGGCTCAGACTGACTTACTTTGGAGCAGTTCAGGTACGGCAGCATGGCGATTGTCAACCAGCTGACCTCGTTGTTCGCAGAAATCTGGCACGAAGAAAAAGTGCCTTGCTCTTGGGGCGAATCAGTCATTGTTCAGAGTTTCAAGAAAGGCGCTCGCATTTCAAGTGTCAATCATCACGGGATTAGTCATATTTTGGTTACCTCCAACTTTTGC